GTGTCCCCTCCCGAGCTGCCAGTACCAGCCAGGAGGGACACGGATCTAATAAACATGTGGTTGCGTTCAGCCTCCCCAAGACCCTGTCCACATCTTCAGGAGCAACAGAGTCAAACTCCTCCCATACAACCGTCTCAAGACCTGCTCCCGTCTCCTCCCCCTGGGCCAACCAGTCGGAGTCTAAGCCTTCTCGGATCCGAGCGACTTTGTCATACAGATACTGCGCAAAATCCTCTGCCCTCCCCTCCAGGGGGTCCCCCCTCCCCTCCAGGGGGTCCCCCCCCCTCCAGCTGCCAAGGGTTGAAAATGGTGATCATATATATCCCTGAGACACAGCCACTGCAATAAGTACATGCCTAAGGCGGGACTAGAACTCACCATCTCCCAGGGATTGGCCCAAAGTCACTCAGCCGGCTTTCATATCTAAGGAGGGACTAGAACTCACCGTCTCCTGGTGATTGGCCCAAAGTCACCAAGCTGGCTTTCATATCTAAGGAGAGACTAGAACTCACCGTCTCCTGGTGACTGGCCCAAAGTCACCCAGCTGGCTTTCATATCTAAGGAGAGACTAGAACTCACCATCTCCTGGGGATTGGCCCAAAGTCACCCAGCCGGCTTTCATATCTAAGGAGGGACTAGAACTCACCGTCTCCTGGTGATTGGCCCAAAGTCACCCAGCCGGCTTTCACGCCTAACAGCTTTGCCTCCAGAAATCGTGGGCGCTCCATCACTGGAGGTTTTTAAGAAGAGGCTAGACCACTTGTCTGAGATGGTAGAGGGCCTCCTGCTTGAGCAGGGGGTTGGACTAGAAGACCTCCAAGGTCCCTTCCAACTCTCCATTATTCCATTCACCTTATTCCCCTCCAGTTCTCATCAGCTTCCTTCAACAGTGTCTTCCCTCCTTCCCATCTTTCAGTACCCGTTGGTTGTCGAAGTTCAGAAGATCCTGACTTACAACTGTTGTCTCAGGAGCGCCCCCATCACCCTGCGCATGTCTCTGAGCAAGAGCCTCTACCTTCCGGGCGACAACATCGCCTTCATCACCGAAATCACCAACCCGACGGGCAAGTCCATCCGGAAGGTGGTTTTCACCCTCCACTCAGTAGTCCTCTACAAAGCCTTCAACTTCCGAGCGGAGCCCCGGACGTTAGAGCAGCACGAAGAGATGATGCGACTGGAGTCGAGCATGGAGCGAGGCCCTTGCGAGTTCACCAAGATTCACAGCACCCTCTGCTTGCCCAAAGTGATGCCCGTCACCAGCGCCCAAAAATCCGACGACATCATGGAGATCGGCTACGAGCTGACGGGGACGGTCCACTTCCCCTGGTGCCTCAACAGGGTGGTGGCCAAGATCCCCATCGTGGTCAGAAACGAAGCCACGGAGCTGCCAGAGTAAACGAGGGAAAGCTGTGCCCCAAACCCTCGGCCGTTTTTGTCCAAATAGGTGGATATATTTTCCAAAATGGATCCCGTTCTCCATCCCCGTCTCCTGACTCATTAAACGCTCGCGCTATGTTTCCGTTTCCGAGACTCCCTGTCCAATTGGTGTTACAGGTCGTCCTCGACTTACCACCATCATGGAACCCAGCCTGTTATGATCATAGGTCACGAAGGTCATAAAGCGGGTCGTCGTGCGATTAATCTGATCTGACGGCTTTGTTGCGGAGTGGTCGTTAAAGGAGTCACCATCACGTCTACAGTCGTTACATGGAAGCTGTTGTCTGCCGTGCAGCATTTGTGCTGGACGCTAGAATGACAGGTCTTCCTCAATTTACAACCATTCATTTAGTGGCCGCTCGACACTAAATGAAAAAAGTGACTTACGGCCGTTTTTCACACTTCCGACCACTGCGTCCCCAGGGTCAGGTGATCAATATTCAGATGCTTGGCAACTGATTCATATTTACGACGGTCGCAGTGTCCTGGGGCGTCACGGGATCCCCTTTTGCGACCTTCTGACAAGCAAAGTCAAGGGGGGAAGCCCGATTCGCTTAGCGACCATGTGTTAACAACAGCAGTGATTCACACAACAACTGTTGTAGGAAAGCTGGTAAAATGGGACAAAATGCTCTTAGCAACTGTCTCCCTTAGCAAAAGAAGTGTCGGGCTCAATTGTGGTTGTGTCAACGCTGCTAACATCGGATGTTTTTGCTTTGACAACAGATGGAGATGTAGCCATTTTCTTCTTTTCGCTTTTAGAGTTAGATGATGCTGGGGGGAATGTGAACGAGAGTCCAGCTAGACCAGGGGTAGGCAACCTTGGCTCTTTTATGACTCGTGGACTTCAACTCCCAGAATTCCTGA